TTTAAAAATTAAAAAAATAAAATATCATAAATATTATTTAAAAAAATTATTAAAAATATAAAATATAAAAATCTGTACTGGTACCCTTTCAAATAAGATGTGTATCATAATTTTTTTTTTTTTTTTACCTCTAGTTTCCATCCTTTTCGCGTAATCTTTTCCGTGAATAAAAAAAACTAATTTTTTTAAGGAAAAAAATAAGGCGTACAAAAGGAAAAAAATAATAAAAGAAAGTATAATGAACTATAATTTTATGAAGGTAAAATAAATAATTTCAGTTGTTGATGAGAAAAACAATGATTAATATCAAGTACGCATTCATAACAAAAGATAAATTTATTAAAATACTAATCATTAATAACTAAGATTACGTACTTCATCTTTCTTTAATTCAATTCACAGTACTCTATACCAAATCAAGCAGGCCAGCCCAAAGAGATCGCGGCCTGTTTTTTTCTAACCCATAGTCCCATTCTGATTTATGGCAGTTCACAGTACTCTGTACCAAAAAAGGAGTACGCTATCCTAAATGTTTACTTACACTTAACCACAAATATTATTTTTCTTTATTAAATTTATTACTTAAAATAAACAGAGATATGATTGCTTGAATAAACAAAAACCTAATTAAAAAAAAAAAAAGTTTGGTTGATTGGGGAAGGAAAAGAGAATAAAAAACAAATATCTCATATCTCTCTCAACTCCACTCTCTTGGTTTATATTTCTAAATCATGCATCCAAGGACTTTCTGAACATTCACAATGTGCTCTAAATTAAAAGAATTAAAATTAAAATAAGATGTTAATTAAGAGAGTCCTTACCCCATAGAGATAACCCAGGTTATCAATTTCTAAAACAGTGTTGTTAATATTGTCGATGACTTGGATAACAAAAAGATGAATTACAGTATCTCATTCAAATTAAAGTTAAAAAATAGATGATAATTAATTTTTAATTTAAAAAATTGTAATTGATAAAGATTTTTCAACAAATAATAACAAGAACTTAAATAAAATAAAAAATATTAACAAATTGATATAACAAGTAAAAGAAGGTAATAAATGTACAGGAATAACTCCCATATATTATGCTGTTAAAATACAATCTTTGCATCTATATTTGTAGCTTTTTGGTTTATGGTAGCAATCGGATATTAAGCACCTTATCTTATTAGAAGAATGAGCACTTGTTAGCGTAATTCAAACCTGTTCTGATATAGACTCAGCATAAACGATCACTATCCAACATGATTGATTGGTTTATTGCATTTAGTGAAACATGGACCTTTACGGGTTGGCCACACTTTAAACCTGCTATGCTTTCTTAGTGCTTAAACATCCAACGCAGCACCTACCTAGTTTGATATCAAGGAACAAAAACTATGCTATAACTGCTACACACGCGTAATCCAAGCCCTTGATCAAACTTAATATTGTCTGTTGCCACACACATGCATATTTGACCAAGTCCAAACCATGGAAAACTTGAAGCCTTAAAGAATAAGCAATGAAAAAAGTGGGTCTCCGTTGAACTCATTCTTTAGGACCTTCTCAAACGTTGCCGCATACCAAAAAGCATCAACAATAAAAATTAAAACATGAATCTGGTTCAACTTTAGCTCAACTATGCCACCTTTTGCCAATACCTAGAAAAACACACTGTCCCCACACAAAAGCTTCACTTGATCACTTCCATTGATCTATCACCCCATTTAGAATATAAAATAAATACACACCATCTCTACCCTCATTCACCACTTTGCTTGATTGGAGTAGTGACCTATTATTCAAACATGCTAGCATCTGTTGCAGAACATGGCATATCAAAACCATCAAGAAATCATCAAAATTCTCACCATTCAGAAGCACCAAATTCCTATGCAAACACAAGGGCAATACTTGGCCAACCTCGACTTCAAAGGACTAAACCAATTATATGGTGTGCTGCAATTTTGTGCTTCATATTCAGCTTAGTACTTATTTTCTTTGGAATTGCAACATTGATTGTCTACCTTGCCATGAAGCCACGAAACCCCATGTTTGACATTCCTAATGCAAACCTCAATGTAGTATATTTTGACTCACCACAGTACCTCAATGGTGAATTCACTCTCCTTGCAAATTTTTCCAATCCTAACAGGAGAATTGGGGTGAGGTTTGAGTCCTTGAATATTGAGCTTTTCTACTCGAACAGACTCGTGTCATCACAGACAATCAAGCCTTTTACTCAAAGGCCAAGGGAAAACAGGTTGCAATCAGTGAACTTGATATCCAGCTTGGTGTTTTTGCCTCAAGATGTTGGTGTGAAACTTCAAAGGCAAGTGGAGAATAACAGGGTCAACTACAATGCAAGGGGAACATTTAAGGTGAGGTTCAACATGGGCCTTTTCCATTTATCTTACTGGCTGCATAGCATATGTCAGATAGAGATGACTAGTCCTCCAACTGGTATTCTAGTAGCAAGACAATGTATAACAAACAGATGAAGAGGCAACATGGTAGAGTTCTTTTGTGTTTTTTTTTTCTTTCTAGTTTCTACTTTATTAGGAGATATAGCTAATGCCTAATGGTACATACCAGTGTGCAACAGAGTTAAATGATTCTTGCGAGAAATGAAATCGAGAAGATTAGCTGATACCATTCGATTTTATTTGACTTTTTTTAATGTTTTTATTTTTAGATAGCGGTGGAGGGTGTTGAAGCAATTCTATACCAGCAGAATTATGATGTACATTTTATTTTATTTTTCTACTAATATCAGTCTATAGTTTTTCTTCCAGAATGGGGTGGTAAGCAAACATTGAATTAACTTCTTGATATTGTTTTCTTTAACTTCCTTAATTGTGTCGTGTCAGCTGTACTAATTGGAAATCCTTTTGACTATGTAAAATACTTAAAGCTAAAATGTGTTAAAAGCAGAAAAGGACTTGTCAGAGATTGATCATTGACGTGGAATCAACTAGTATTTCAAAAGTACCCCTGCATAATTTATTGTGGTGAGCCTTACATCTCAAAATCATGTCTTATTCCAGAATCTTCGAAGCACACACATTTACAGTAGTTTAAGCATATATGCTTCGCATGGAGGCCATTAAAGCATATGAATAGTGGGATTAGTGGAATATCCTTGTCCGGTTAATGACTCGTGACCCACCAAAACATTACTATTACTTTTGAGGTATCAATATATGATTTGTAGAAAATTAACTATACGAATTCACATTTAATTATCTATATTACTGTTTATGACAATATATATACCAGCCTTCATCTAACAATTATTTTTTAGTGGTACACCATCATCATTTGACATTAAATTAGCTCCTATAACACGAACCAGTATTTGAAAAACATGTAACCCAAAAATAAGCATGTTAATCAGAAGCAAATGCTTACTTAGGCTGTATCATACATATATATATACCAGAATGCAGTCACCCCAAATCAGTCCCCAAGTCCATTTAGAAGCCTAATACTTGTAGTCCTTGACATACAAACTCTCAGAAGCCAAGCCAGTTCCACTTCCACCAACATACTTCCCCAGAGTAGCCTCTGAATTGGCCTTGCATCTTGCCAGAAATGACTCTTGAGCTTTGCCAATATTCTCCTTCTTTCCACCCCATGTCTTGAGTGTGCTTTGCTGCAGTGCTCGCCCAAATGAGAATGAGAGAGTCCATGGCTTCAACACCCCCAACTTGTTCATTGCATTCAGGTTCAGCGTAGCTTCCTCTTCACTTTGTCCACCAGACAGAAACACAATCCCTGGCACCGCAGCTGGGACAGTCCTGCGGAGTGCTTGAACTGTGTACTCAGCAATCACCTCAGGTGCTACCTGCACACAAATGAAATTTGTTTCCTAAGTTAATAAAATTGTACATACTTAAATTCATTCCCTCTTAATAATTTAGAGGAATGATATTTGATCTCTCACCATTTTATACATTAACGCACATCATTTTTTTCTATATCTTTTTCTATCATATCATATTACTTATGGGTTATCATCCCAATACTTTTCTCATAATGTCTAAAAGATTGTTGGTTTTTTTTCTTTTCTTTTATAGGCAAATGTTAGTAATTAACGTGTTATGTTAGTCGGAGGATTCAAAGTTACTCCATCGTATCTCTTTTCAAACTACCAGACTATCTTATAACTCTTAATAGATTGTTGGGTGTTCAGGAATCATTTTTGTTTTTGAAAATGTTTCTACCTTTGGGCTATCTGAGCCAGGAGTGACCATGTTTGGCTTGAGAAGGGTTCCTTCAAGAAGGACATGGTGCTCATTGAGTGCCTTGTAAACAGCTGCAAGCACAGTTTCAGTGACAGCAGCACATTTGACAATGTCATGAGCCCCATCAGTGAGAATCTCAGGCTCAACAATGGGCACAAGGCCATTCTCCTGGCAAATGATGGCATAGCGTGCCAAGCCCTGTGCATTTTGCTGGATGGAAAGCTCAGAGGGCTCATTGGGGCCAATTTTGAGAACTGCACGCCACTTGGCAAAGCGTGCACCGGCCTTGTAGTACTGCTGGCACCGAGCTCCAAGAGAGTCAAAGCCTTGTGTGGTGGTCTCCCCATTTGTGCCAGCCAACTCAACAACACCCTTGTCCACTTTGATGCCTGGGATCACATTGTTCTCTTCAAGCACCTCAACAAAAGGCTTTCCATCACTGGTTTTCTGGTACAGAGTTTCCTCAAAGAGGATGACACCGGAGAGGTATTGGAGGGCGTTTGGTGAGGTGAAGAGAAGCTGGCGAAGGGCTTGGCGGTTGGCCTCAATGTTCTCAACGTTAATGCTGGCTAAACGCTTTCCAATGGTGCCAGTGCTCTCATCTGCTGCCCAGATTCCCTTCCCCGGTGTGGCTGTGTACTTGGCGTTCTTGATAAGCTCATCTGGATATATAACATCACGTATGAAAAACCAAAGACCAAGAATTATGAACATATCGAATATTGCATCAAGTTGACGGAGCTACTTAGACATGAAATCTTATATTTGGACTCCGTTGATGACGAATTAACTGCTTATTTAGATTAATACTTCTAGCTTCTATCAACTTTTATTCAAACAAGTATACTAAGATACATTGGAATGAGTATTAATGTAAAGTCGAATGTTTGACAAGCTCGATCGTACGTCAATGAAGAGATGTAGAGATAGAAGAATGGGTAATATCAAGAGAAGAAGAAAAGTGATGAGATTACCTGCGTACTTTCCAACGAAGGCAGACATGGTTCAAGCTTTGAAAAATGGTATTGGATGGCGGGAAACAGATAACAGATGACAGCACGAAAAACAAGTTTAGCCAAAACCAAAGATATATAGATAAAACTGAGAGGAATATACCAAGTGGTATCTACTCAACCCATGCAAAAGAACCACGTGTCAAGTGATTAGCCTAACGAAGGTTATCACTCTTGGATAAAGCAACGAGTGATGCTTCACGTAGCCAAGTGGCGACTCATCCTTTTCAATAATATATGCTCCATTCATCCTCTTGGACTTTGTTCATTTCCGATGTCAAGCCATACATACAAACTAAGATATCAAACATAAAGGTTAATAATATGTAGATTGTTTGCAGAACCCTGTCTCAGCCACATTATTTTTCCTTTTTTTTGTTTTGTCTTTTTTCACAATCAAGTTTCATCCTCAAGCAGAGACGGAACTACGTATTGCGATCGCCTCCTCCTCCCCCAAACCAAAATATGCATGTACATCAAAATTCCAATCCACAACTAATAAAAACAGCTTATAATATTTGGCCACAACTGTCCAGCTACAGTTACTTTTAAAAAAATAAAAATAAATTATTTATTCTTTTTGTGTTATAAAAGAATTGTTTACTAAGAAATATTTTAAATTTAAAAACTCTTTACATATTACTTTACAAATTCCAAAAAAAAAAATTAACTTTAAAAGAAATTGTAAAAAAAAAACATTTTTACTTTACATATATACAAGTAATTATGGAAGAGTTTTACTATAGAAATATCATGAAATTTTTTTTATCAATTCAATAATAGAAGAATATTATAATCTTAATATATAGTAAGATTTTTTTTATATATTTTATTAAGATCAAAAGTAATTATATTTAAAGCATCTACAATATAATTTGTTTAACTAAAAATCTTTTTTATTTTATTGAATTTTACATTGTTACATCGCATTTAAATAGCTCATAAATAACTTATTATATTTTTACTTTAATAATAAAATTTTAAACAAATTTAAATATGATTTACCAGTTTTTTCTTTACTTTTTCTCAATTTGATGGTATAAAAAACAATTTTTTATTCATAAACTATCGTATCTTATATAAAATATAAAATTTAAATTTAAGATACTACTTTTAATGTCTTGCAAGCTGACTCCAATGTAATGATTACTTAAGCATAAAATATTCATAAAGCACTAAATTTTCATAAGATATATAATATTTTATTAGTCATTCCTAATTTTATTTATCATGTGAAAAATCTTTGCCCTTCATATTTTTCAACTTCCGTCTCTGTCCTCAAGCTACATCTTCATGTAATTTACACTCGCCAATGTTCTCAATTGCGAAAGTGATAGAAGAAAAATTTGTACACATCGCAGCCTACACAAATTTGGGAGTTCAAGATACTGTATAACTGGAATAAAATAAAATTAATAACTTACATATTCATTGATACATATATATAAAGAAAAAATCTGTGGATTCGGTAAACTTGTATTTGATAAGCCAAATCCGGCAAAGAATAATCAGAAGAAAAATTCTGGTATAAAATAAAAGGTAACACAAAATTTGCATTGGAATATTCCGAGTATGCGTCTGTTTGTAAAACAAAACAAAAGGATTATGATCAAAATTGATTTAGAACTATAACTCAGCCCAATATCCTTAATTCGGCAAATCTTAGCCCTTTTGCAGTGATAATCTCATTAATAATGATCAACCAAAAAATATTGTGGATTTGGCCAAAGTATAACTACTTTGAAGGGGTCACCACCTGCTGGTCATCATCGTCCGTTCCAAAGTACCTATCCCCAAACTCGCCCATGCCTGGTACGACACGGAAATCGTCATTCAATCCGATGTCAATCTCAGATGTCACGATTTTTATTCTGGGAAAGCTTTTGCAGACCACATGAACTCCTTGAGGTGCCTGCCAATATGGGAGCATATATGTAAATCATTGGGTGCAGGAAAATAAACAAGCAAGAGAAAATAACAAATATGGCAAGATATACAGAGGTACAGACAGCAGTAACTTACTGATATGAGATTGAGAAATATAATGTTAGACTCTGGGACCCCCTTCTTTAAAAGTAAAGAAATTGCTTGAACAGCCGAATTACCTTAAGATGAAGATATTCTAAAGTTAGTCAAGACGAAAACCAACAAAATAAATATCAAGTTTTTTATATGCCCTTATTATGCTAACGGCTGTGTAACTCAAGAAGTGGCGATTGGCTGCTGACGGTTATGAGAATAACAAACCTGTTCCTAAGATAGGATCCAACAGTAATACATGCCTTTCTGAGATATCACTGGGCAACTTCTCATATATTAGCTGCCCAATAATCAAAGGATAAGTTAGTGATCGGGAAATGGAACACACAGATATACACAAGCACGCGCAGATGACAAACCTGTTGACCATTGTCACCTTCTCTATGAATAAGAATTTTCCCAATCTTGATACCTTTGCAGCATGCTCGTAAAGCATTTTCCATACTCTCCCCGCTGAAATTAGATTGAATGTCAAATTGAAGGACAAAGTTCTTTTCTAAGCAATAAATTTTATTTATAAAAATTGCAATGATCTGTGATCATAGGTTCACATCAAACTGCGTAATAGGAAAGTAGAACTAGTTTCTTAAAATATAAAAGGCGGATGGATTTGGATAATATTTTCATGGAAAATGAATGGCAATATATGCATTCTAAACAATTTGGTAATTATAAATCCAAATCTGGCAAATCTACAATAGATCTTTCTCTTTATTGAATTGTTCTAGAAAATATTTTAGTCAATACTTTGTAGCAAGGATAACAATATTTAATCAAAAATGCCCAAGTGACTTCTGATCTGGACTAGTACGATACCTTCGAATGATGGAGACGCCACACAACCTCTTACAGAAGTCCACACCACTATACACCGATCCTGCATTGAAAGACAAGTATTGGCTGTAACCATAAAAGGGCTAAGACAGTAAGACATAAACAAACTGATTCTATTTTGTAAATATTTGAAGGAGAATGTCATCTACACGGATGCAGACAGGAGAGTTTATCATCAAGAATAGAACATGTCTCTCAACTGTACAATAACATGATACCCCTTTGGTTCCCATTCTTTTAGCATTTGTTTGACTCAGAATTCAGACTGCAGAAGTAATCCGTATTCCTTCTAAGATGTCCAAGACACAGGTAACATGTAGTCCATGTTACTCTTCACTTTTGTGAAAAATTGACAATAAGAGGCCAGGACTTTGGAAATCAGAGTTACCCACCATGCACATCATCTACAACACTTCCCAGTGAAATGTATGATAATTCATCTATAGAGGTAAATATAATCCAAGCCAAGGAAATCAGCATTCAAAAATCAACAGCTTACCAGTTGAAGTGGTTACTTGCTTTTCTGTAAATGGAAGATGCCCTAGGCCGTGTTCTACAACCTGGTCAAGCGAGAGAAATATGACCATTAGTGCTATAAGAATATGCCATGCCACCACTAAAATTAAGTAAGCAACTAATGAACCCCATTACATACCAAACGAATTAAACGGTCTGAATAAAATACAAAGTCATGTTTCGTTGTTTGAGAATCACGTACCAGGGTATGCATACCCCGTATCTGCATTGAAGCAATTATCGTGTTGATTCAACTTTTAATAACAAAATCAAATTTTGGGGCTCCAGCTGAACGAGGAAGATGGGATGATTGAAAAGTTCAATAACAAGAAAGGGTTACCTGAAAAGTAGATTGAATGACATATAAGTTAGGATATATTTTACACAAGTCATGTTGACCAAGCTTCGTGCGAATATGCTGTACAATCAAATCAATTGCCACGTGATTATCTCCTCCACGGGGTATAATGATATCAGCATATTTCTTGGTGGGAAGAATAAAGTCGTCAAAAGCCGGCTTCACATATTTAGAATACTGCATCAAGTAATATATGATAAACGAAAAAAAAGGGGAATATATTAGCTTGATTTATTATCATAACCATAAAACAGATCATTGAAGATTTAATTACATAAAAACTGACTAAATACAGGTTTTCTAATCAAAGAAATTGCATAACAGTCTCTCAGCAACATGAATTAAAATAACTTTTCCATGTCTAGAAATGCAGTGCATGTAAGAAATGTGAAGGCCAAAAACCCAATGATGATCAAAATATGATAATGGAAGCGCAAATGGTGTGGCCGTGTGGCCAACATTAGCTACCTGATCTAGCACAGTTCCAATATCACGAGCATTGTCAGCAGTATCACGCTTAATTCTTCTAGCCAGACGAACATCAGCATCTGCACTGAACAATTCACAATGTCAAGAAGGAAGACACAGGCAACTATAAATAAAAAAGAAACCAACAAAAAAATAGGGGAAAAAGATGAAGATATAGTATCATTAACACCTGAACGAGAACAAGCATATTTTTAGATAATGTGAAGAATATTGCGTTCTCCTATATCATGATATGTGGATTAGGAAGGGGAAATTTTAACATTTGGTTAAAAGGAAAATCAACATGAGCCGCAAAAAACATACAAATACAATACAGTAAGTTATAACAGTTATATTGGAACTAAAATAATAAGGGACCTGTGTCGACAAATATCTTCATATTCATCAATGCCCGCACTCGTGGATCATGGAAAACAAGGATACCTTCCAAAATTATAACATCCGCTGGGTTTACCTGCAAAATACATTAAATTATCATGAAATAGAAGTCTGGTTGAAATTGTATTTCATATAAATATCCCCTCTGATGGAGATAAAACGCAAGAAAAAACATGTACACCAAAGTGTTCAAATTCAAATATGAAAACCATTGTCGTGTCATGCTAATATATTTTATACTTGCTCTACCGCCTCTACGCAATAATAATAAATAAATAAAAATCTTTAGCATGATTAAAAAATCAAAAATAGAAACCTATATCAATCTTGGCCTGTTCTATTAAGCATTTGACGAACGAGGAATAAAGTAATTAATAAAAAGTTGAAAATTCCATATACCCGTCTTGCTGGAAAAACATCACTCTTGTAACCCTTAAAGTCATACTTCGGAATATCTACTGCTTGGCCACGCTTCAACTTGTCCATGACGCGTAGCAATTGCTCAGTATCAAAAGCTTCTGACGATATCAACAACATGCATAGAAATAGAGTAAGTAACCATAGCAAGCAGTCCAAGAACCATAATTCACATATTAAAAAAATTAAACGTTAAAATTTCCAATTCAAAATGTTGCTATCTTATCAATTTTTAGGTGTATTATATTTACTACTACCTCCTTTTTATAAGAATTAAATGGTAGTGTAAAATACATTTTTCATATGATTATTATATCCATTCCGCTCCTGAGTTAAACGTTAATATACATCATTAACATATATATATATATATATATATATATATATATATATATATATATATATATAAACGTTAAAATATCCAGATTTTTTATCCATTCCGATCCTGAGTGATGATCTTATATAATATCTTAATATAAAGGGAAAGACACTAATTAATAATGAGAGACTAATATGTACAATTGAACTCACCAGGATGGTCAAAGTTGTAATCTTGTACTCTTGAAAGTTCCTCCTCAGTCAAATTATGGTAAAAAGAATCCTGTTGTAAAATAAATTCATTTTATTACGCTCAATGTATCATCATGAGTACAATAAGAAACATCAACATCTTGTATAAATAAATAAGAAACATCAACCAAATCCTGGAACACACCTCAAAAAGGTAAAAGACGACCAAAGTACAAAAGGAACAAATAAAATATGTAAAAAATAGGTTAAGGGTGTCTCCATTCAAGTAACTACATGAGTTGCTATAATTTATATTTTTCACTTATCTATGAGGAGACATATCATTTTTATTATTTTAAGCAATTTAATAATTTTATTCTCCAATCCATCAACTCTAAAATGTTTCTTAAATAGACCCCACAATTAACCCTATGCTCTTTTCTATTTTATTATTCATCTAAATTATTTTTGCCATTTGTTTAAATAATAAGCATATAAATTTTTAATTACCTAAAATTTTTACTTCAAAATTTAAAATGCAGAGAGCAAAGGACAACAAAAATTACATAAATTATGCTAATTTTTTATAATACATGAAAAATAATGTGTACTAATAATTTAAATAAATAAAATTAATTTTAAATTATTTTTTAAAATATGTGAAATATAAGTAATATATTATGAAAATATAGTTTATTTTTTAAATAACAAATAAATATAAAATATTTTTAGTTACATGTTGTTTTTTATGAATAAAAATATACTAATATTTAAATATATATAAAATAAATTAGACTCCATTACACCGTTGAAAGCACTAGGTGCTCTATATAGCAAGGATGCTTTCTTTGTAACTCAAGAAAATTTCTCTCCAACGTCCAAAATATAAGACTTGAGTTGCTAGACACTTATAATTTAATGCCGGAAAATCAACCCATTGACGATGGTCTAACAGCATAAATGTTAGAAAAATACATCCAAAGAAATTTTTAATCTTGTCAACTAAACAATTGTGTATTCAAATGCATGACTTCTGTTGGTGAGAAAATTAATGATATTCTGGTGGAAATTTTGAGGGAGAAAAACATACAGGTTTATGATAAATTTGGTGAGGAGAACAACATAATACTAAATCTGACACGGAAAAAGAAATAGAGGTGGAGGAATTTTGGTGAGTACTGAATGTCATGTTACAATGAAAATAGAAAACAAAGGTGATAATAAAATCATTCCGATAGATTCTTTGGATATCAAAGGGAAAATATGGCCGAACAGAATACCAAGGGGACTCAGATGAAAGAGGATACAGGATGCTTATAATGATTCAAGCATTCACTGCAAACCATTAATTCTTTGGATTAAGTAACGGGCTTAAATTCTTATAAATTATCGATTTGATCACCAGTAAGTATGTATAGAAAGAATTAACTGTATTATTAACATAGACACAGTCACTTTCTCTTCTCTATCTCATCATTTATCAGTTATCACATGTATTACTTTCTCAAACTATAATTTCTTTTTTTCTTCTAATCTCTCCCTTCCACTCAATGTCCCAGTCCACCCCAAAATGGGATGGACAGATGGAGGATTGGCATTTTGCAAGAATTAAATACCTGATTAACAAGTACAACTCGTTGATCATGAAGCTGTTGAATAATCATATCACAAACTGATGTCTTACCGGATGCTGATCCACCAGCAACACCTGTCATGTCAACACACAAACGGAAAAATACATAGAAAATGAATTAGAATCATGGATATCAGATAAAAATTGGTGAGATGTGAACAGAAGACATCCAAAGTTGTTACGATGTTATTTTTAAAACCGGTGCTTCTAACTTCGAAACAAAGAAAACTTCAATGGGAACTGTGTAAGTTTGCGGGGAGCTCTACTTTATATGATTAGATGTTAGCTGTGCCTGTGCGACTTATGATGTAGAATACCCTAGTAACGAAATTATGTTGCAAGAAATTGGACTGGCAATAAAATGTGAAGTATTTTTCATTTCATGTTTTCATGAGAACTTTTAAGTTTACTCAAGCACGATGATCGTGATTTCTTCTTCACAAAAAACATTCCTATGAATTCTGAGTTGGTCGTTTATCTTTCAGATAAACAAATGTTTCAAGAAATTTCATTGATCCAACTAAACAAAATTGGGTTGTAGTATGATAGTCTTCAAGGGTAATTTTGTTATTCTTCAGTTAAGCACAAAAGTTTATAGTTCATTGGAATCATATGCAAATGCGGGGAGAAAAAATGGGGCTGGTGACATTCTCTCTGGCATAACAGAACAGCACAATCCACACATGGGCTCTGGGACCTCTCAGTTTATAGCAATCAATACCAAACCATTGAGAAAATGTATTTAGTACCCTATTATACATGAGATAAGACATAAACAGATAGCGATTTTATGACTGCAGTAGCAGTTAGCTTGGCATGCAAAAACACACCTATGACAAAAGGTTGTTTATACACGTCAGTTGCTGAAGTGGTTGGTTGATCGGTGCCAGACTTTCTTCGCTCTAAGCCATCCATGTGAAATCCAGAAAAATGAACCTCGGATGTAGACTCCATTAAATCCACAACCGATTTAGTTCCCATAGGCAAAGAGCTGGAAATATAATAGCTGAAAATCACAGATATAAAGAAATTAATCAATACCAAACAAATGACAAATACTCAATAAAAGACACAATCGAGAATCTGAATAATAGTTTTAATTGTCTGATTGAATCAAACCAACCATTTCACTCTTGGGCACATTCTCATATTTTACTACTCATTAACTAAAGAATACTAGTCACTAGAACAATGCTTAAGCTGGATTGACGCATTCACACACTCCCTTAAATCCTATCTGGTTGCCAACTGCACCAAATCCATTACCGCGATCTATAACTTGCACACAATAAATTATCCTAATAAAGCAGAAACAACGCGGTACAGCATACGTTACAAGACCTTAACAATTGCCACTCACTTCCTTAAGCCATATACGTACACACATACATACATAAACAGCAAAGGCTTCTTGAACAACACCAAAGTGATATCACAAATTCCTGAACTGCAGGACAGGAAAATGATTTCACAATTGAATTCGTTCCACGCGGTGATCCATCAAATAATGATGGCATCGTGGTGATAGGAGGCTTCGGTCCGATCCGATGGACATTGAAAACACGATATAATGAGCCTGCGGTGCACGTAAGAATGAATCCAACGACATAGTTATACATGTATTTGCGTGCAAAAGAACAAAGAGAGCGCAGTCATTGTACTGAGTGAATGAATGCAGTTATAAGAAATCGAGGAAATCGAGATCCAGAGAAACGACGCGAGGATGATGGCAGAAGAGAAGAGAACGTACCTGTTGAACTCAGAGAAAGGAGCGGAGCCAAAGAGAAAAGGGAAAAGATTAAGATATAATTGCAGTGACAGATATGATATGATGATTTGCTTTGCTTCGGTTCGGTTCGGTTTCGCGCACTCTCTCTCTCACTTAGACGCTGCCTTTTTTTTTTCTTTTTTTTTTTCTTCTTTGTTGTTTATATATACATAGTATTAGTGACGTCGATTGAGCCATAAAACAGAAAGAGATGAAGGGGCCTTCATTTTCGGGGGGACGTCAAATTACCAGCTACTGCTACAAATTCAATTTTTTTTTTTTATATAAAACGCTTTTATATTATAAATCAATCAAAAACTTATAGTGATTTTTAAAATAAGGTTTTATTAATTATTTCATCTTTAAATTTTTCTAATTTTTTGTTTTAGTTACTATACATAAAAAAATGGATTCTATAAACAATTTTCTTTTTTATGTTTTAGTCCATGTAATTATTTTTCTAGTTAAAACATAAAAGATCATATAATGATTAATATAGAATTTTTAAATTTAGATGCTTTAGAAAGTTATGCAATATATACATCAAATCATTAATTAAACCTTAAAATAATAAATTATTTTTATATTATTATTATTATTATTATTATTATTATTAATTTTTTTGGTACTTCTTAAAAATTTTAGCCGTCGCTAAATCCAAAATATTCAACAGAGTATCCTATGCCTATCTCTTTTTAACTCTAGGATTATATGTTTGATTTTGCTGTTTTAAATCTTAAATTATTTGTGATAATTTCTAAAAAAACTGACATGATTATATTTGATTTTAATTATCATAAATATGTATAATGTATAATTCTTAATGTGAAATTATTAGACTTTTTGTCTTAACTAAATAAAATTATATACTCATAATGTGAAATACACAATTATTTATTTAAAAATAAAAAAAAATATAATATAAATAAATGGAAATAAAAAATCTTTATAAGTAAATTCTTAAATATAAATAAATTTGATGGTTTTGATATGATAAATGAATTTGAATAAAAGAATTTTTAATAAGAGGTGATAAAGAAAATTTGGATCTTTTCTTACGATTTTCTCTTTGATAATAATAATAACTATTAAATATAATGGTTCAAATTTAATTTTATAAAATTATTTAAAAAATTATATTAATTATAAGATTAAATTTGAGTTATTAAATATATCTAATAATTATTATTATTATTGAAAAGAAAAAATTTTAAGAAAAGATTCAAATTCTTGATAGTGACAACTTATGGGTGTGGATTATGGAAGTAGTAGACAGAAGGGATGGTTGTGTGTGTGGGGCAGGTGGGTACGTGTGATGTGGTTAGTATGTCTGTGTTGAGATGCGTGTGGAGAAATGTCACATTGTCACTTACTCACCTCTCTCTTGTTTGTGGGCTCCATGCTCAAGCTGCTGCAGTTTTCATAATCCACCTCATCAGAGAACACATATTTTTACTATTATTTTATATCTAGATTATCTAAATTTATATATATTTTAAATGATTTTATTTTAAAATTTTTAAATAACAAAAATAATATTAAAAATTAATTATTTCTATAAAAATTAAACTCAAACTCAATAATTTTAAGTTAGAAGATTAAATATAATATTAATTAATTTATTAAATATCGATGAATTTTAAATATTTTTATTAAATAAAATATTGAGACAAAATATTTTGATTCCACCGAGACTATTTTATTTAGTAATCACTTTTTTAATAATTTTTTTAACTTGTCAAAATACTTCTTTTTCTATAATTTTTTAAAATTATTTTTTTATATTATAATTCTCTAAAAAATTGTTCATACTCTTTTATTATTAATTGCCAATTTTATTTTTAAAAATACATACAAATATATAATATTTTAATAATTTAGTAGGTGAGTGACTTCTAAATCAAATCTTATATATTAAGTATGAACAATTATTTGTTTGATAATACTTTTAAGGATTATCTTTCGATAAAAATGTTTTTATGGGTTCTTTTAAATTTTATTTTATTAAATTTTTATTTATTATATTTGTTTATAAATTAAATTTAATATTTTAAAATAAAATTTTAATCTTGTGTTATAATATAAATTATTTTTCTTAAATAAAAAATATAATTTTCATGTTTAAAAATATCTAGTCATATAATTTTTAAATATAATTTATATATTTGAATATATATTTATTTTATATGATTTATTATAAAATTTAGTTATATATAATAAACAAATATATAAGTTAAAATAATAGTTATTTTATAGATTCTTTAAATAGATGAAAATTAGTCACCTTAAAATAATCATTGAGGATAAAAAATAATGATTTAGATCCTAAAGTGATGAAAAATTTTAAAAATATTTTATAAAAATCAAAATAAAAAATTATAAAAATAAAAAATATTTTATATAGATAAAAATTAATGATTTCAAAGTTTAAATGAATAATTATTATTTTTTTACATAAATCAATACTAAAATTTACTCACTTAATATATAAAAACTAAAAACGTATATTTTATCTTATTATTATATGATTTGTTATTATGTATACACTTAAATAATGTATATAAATAAAGTTTGTGATATTTTTATCATGCTCTCATATCATATATGATAGATATCCTAACTCCTCTACAAAATATTATTAATAATTTTTATAATAACTAATTTAACATATATTTAAATTCATTTTAAATTAATCAGTGACATTTTTATAAATAAATAAAAATAAAGTCTTATTCATTATTCATTATTCTTTTTTGGTAAGTTGTACATCGTGTAGTTTCCAACATGGTTTTCATGTCATCCATCTCCACTGGGTCTTACTAGTGGTCATCCCCGTCTCTAACCTCATTCATAATCTTGTTAAAACCGGGAGTACTCTTGTGTTTAATTATTGGCGGTAGAGAAACCATATATATACTAAAGGAGTGTTTAATTATCTAATTCTTTATAATTAAAAGAAAATGACAACTTTGTTGACAACGTTAGTTAAGAGAGGGGAAAGTAAAAGAAAAAAAATCAAATAGGAAGGAGAAAAAAAAAATGAATCTTTATTTACACAGGTCAATTTTTTCTTTATTTTCTCCCCAGTAAAAAATAGAACAGATACTATTATTAAAAAAAAAATCACTTTCATATTTTTCATAGTGTAAATTATTATTTCTTCTTTCAAAAGTATAATTGATATTAACTAGACTTTTACTCTACTAGTTAGTAGAGGTGAGAAAGTGAGTTGTGACATCCAATTTTGTCTCATTCTATCATTATCTCTAAAAATTGAATAAGGTAAACTAGATCATTTAATGATAGTGGGACAAAATTATGATGCCCCATTCTCCTTAAAGGTAGGGGTGTAAGCGAGTACGGGTAATTTGCGAACCCAAATTGATCTAAATCAACTCAATAAGTTTGAATTATAAAATTTTTCAGTGTTTGGGTCAACCCAATCCAACCCGATCAAAATCTAGTACTGTAGAGATCTGATAATGGGTTTTGTGTTTTCAATCCATTACAAACCTGACCCAACTCGGTCATAATAATAATAAGAATAATAATAATAATAATGTTTGAATGATCATTTGCTCAGGACAATACTCAATATGATTCTTACTCAGTAACAAGTTTAGGATTTTAAGTTGATAGTATTGTAACAATATAATATATTTGTTTTAAATTTTATTTTGTATTAATTAATATTGATTTTTTGAGTTGATAATAATGTAACAAATTCACAAACTTATTTTATAATTCAATTTATATCATTGTTTGTTTTATAGGTTGATAACATTGAATTTGTAACAATATATAAAATGATTTATATTTATTTTAAAATACTTAAAATTTAAAATAAATAAATAAATATAATTATGTTGATTCGATTAATCCAACCCAACCCAACGCGTTAAATTTTAATTAGATCGAGTAACCGATTTATCCAAATCTGACCCAGCCCAACACGCTTACACCCCTACTTAGAGGTGGATCGGCAAGTTTACAAATTAGCCTGCTAAAAAATAAAAATTAAAGTAAAAAAGTAAATAGGAGCTTTTTATTTTAATATTAATCCAAATAAAAAAATAGTTAAATAATAAAGTATACTAATAATCCACTATGTTTAATCTAAAATACAAATTTTCTTATCTCATTATTTAAGAAAAAATAATTACTATATTTTAAAACTTAAAAATTATAATATATTGTATTTAAAATTTTATTTTTAATATTATACTAATTTTTAAACGTGTAAGAAACAATCAAAAAACACACACATATATAAGATAGAAAAGATTACAAAGATGATTATATTAAGAATTTAACCTAGGCCTCCAATCTCCATACTTCTAACTATCTCAAATGCTCTCCACTAAATCACTAGAGTAAAACAAGATATATATATATATATATATATATATATATATTGTTAGCTAACAACATCTCAAGTAGAGAATGTTTGTGTTGTATCTTAATAAAAGTAATTGCATTTATAAGCAATTTCTATTGAAATATAGTGTCATGACACAGTAAATTACTTAAAAATAAATAATGGTTCCTAAATAAGTAATGTTTATGAATTAAAAAAATTATAATTTTTTAGCCTTTTTTTCTTTTAACAGAGAACACAAACCACTCCCACTCACAAATTAAAAATTAGTATCTGTCATTGTTATATATTTCTCATGATTATATAATTTATTTATTTTTAATATTTAATATTTATACACACATTAAATTAATTGTATAAATTTTATTATTATTTTTATACAAAATATTAGTTATTATATTTAATTAAATTAATATTTAATTATAATAATTACATTTTTAAAAAAATCCATACTATTAATTGTTATAAATTATCACTCTCACTTTAATTACCACCATCTTAAGTATCATCATTGTTATATCCCACATTAACACTACTTTTCTATCCTTTTAGCCTATCATTTCTCATTTATGATTCCATCCGTAGATTAATTTAAATTAAGAAGTAAGAATTCATTTAAATATAATATTTTATATTGAAACTTTCAAATCTAAAAATCATTAAAAATTAAATTAATGAAGAAAAATCAAATAAAATTAAAAAATATTTAGAGTTTTCAAATGTTTTAAATCCTAAAACCAAAAAAGTACCTTAATGTTTA